GCCAAAGCAGCGTCCTGTCCAAGGGCCAGTACCTTATTCTTGGCCAGAATCTCTGCTGTCTGCCCTTGAACAGAGTCAACATCTCATACTTCTCATGCTGCTTGACGTTGTTGATGAGGTCTGGGTCCCTTTGGGAGTCTATACATTTCACGACCTCCTTTGTTGCAAGTGAAAACATCTCCTGTGGACACAAACACACATTCTGCAGCCTTTTCTTTGACATGGTTAAACTGTTACAAAAGCGGCAGTGTTTTGCCTTTTGGAGGATTCGTTTGTGTTTGTGTGGCACTAAGGCTGCACGTGTGGCGGGCGTGTGCATGTGATCATACACAGGGCTCGCTGAGGTAGCAACCGGTCCTGGTTCTGTTGCTGTTTCCCATTCAGAACATCACATCAGGTCCATGGTGAGTCAGACGCTCACTGAACCTGTTGTTACCTGATACGTCTCAGACCAGGCCCGTGGGCATCAGGCATTTCAGAGCAGGAAACCAGCCCAGACTAGTCCATAGCACACTCACACACATCTGGACCTGCTTTTAGCGGCTGTGCCGCACACAGTTGGAGCTCTGCCACATTCAGGTCTGGCTTGCAAACTGCTGAGGTCCTCTGCCTTTGTGCGACTGGTTTCTCTGCTGCAGCTTCTGCACTGTAACTGTTAGATAGTCGCCTGTCACACCTTTTACTTTGTGTGTTTGGTTCTTCATTTCATGTCTTTCACTTCATTTTAACAAAGTGTTACCTTCACTTTGTCTGAGCTGGTTTTAATGCTGTTCCTGTTGTTCTTTGCCTATGTATGAACGGTGCTGCATAAATAAGGCCGCTTCATTTTACTTTTATAGGGAAGAGGGTCAGGACCTCTGTACAAACTGTGAGTTCTGACTGTAAACTCAGAAATCTGAAGAAAACCATTGATGACAATCTTATTAAAAGAGCCTCAAGTCAAAGCAGTTTGGTTCCTACAGTCCAGGGTCGCAAACCTCACGTTTACCTCCAGGAGCTTTACACTCTGTAGATACGAGTCCTTTGAGTCTCAAGTCGGACAAGCACATCGCCCTCAGCCCACATTGTCAGTCCCAGTCAAGTTCATGCCATTATTTAATGAGATCCTACACCATGAATCACTTTGTCAACAATTGTAGGTAAAAATACAGTTTCTATATTTTATGGTCAAGGCCACTTTGTCTTAATGCGACTTCTCCATGAGGCTCGTTTTAACCTCCTGTTGACTTAACTTACATAAATGGTCTGCTCAGTGTTTGTGAACTGATCTGTAACATTTTATTTGTGGATGAGAAACCTCAATAACCTGACTTCTATTTAGAATAATGACAGTAAATGTGGCACGTTTAAGTTAATACATCATCTGTCTGTGTGTTATTAGACTGAAGTTCAAGCCTCACTGACTTTGTAAACCTTTACGGAGCCCAAGGGGAACATGGGAGTGTCACAGTCCCACAAAGCTTTTAAAAACGTTAAGAAATTTCTCTTTGTTATTGTGTTTTTATGTTCTGAATTTACATTTTGAGCAGTAGAAAACCAAGCTTACATAGACGACAGCATTGTTGTTGTCTGCAGAAATCTGATGGTCACTGCTTAAGGAGAACCACAGGATAAACCAGCTGTAGTATAAAATCTCCTGTGTCATCCTCCACAGCACTACACCAGTGGGCAGTAAACTAAATGTATTATCACACCACCAGCGACCGTTCTGCACTATGTTGAACAAAGCTGAGCTCTGCTCACAGATCAGCAGGTTTGTCAGGATGTTTTCCTCCCTTCAGACACAAGAGTATTTTTCATGACGTCTCTATTGGCAGCAGAGGTTTTTCATGGTGTGTGTTGTTTGTGAAATGATTTAAACATTCTTACTGTTCTCTGGAGGAGCTGTATCTTCACTCTCTCTGCAGAGCCAGCCAGCCGTCTGATCAGGTTCCCGCCTCAGGTCAAAACACTCAGAGTCTGCAACAAAGGTTTAATGCCAGATCTGTTAGGACAAAGAGGGCATTGCATGTTAACTGACTGAAAACTAGTCCTTGTGAAAAGCCTGAACTTACCGTTCTGGACACAAGTCAGACCAGTTAATGCAAACATGAACTCCAGTTTGAGCAGAAACTTCCTGAAACCTCTTCTGCCACCTACTTCCTCTGTTGTTGGTGGTTTGTGATCATTATTCTCTGAAGGTTTCAACTGGGGGAGTTTATATCAGCCCTGACAGAGGCCAACACCAAGTGGTGCCATGTTGGACTTTGAGAGAACGGACCCCAATCTCGTTCTGGTTTTATAAGGCTCAGATACAGTCACCCTGACAAGACCCACTCATCAGCCTTCTCCAGGTAGACGGGACGGCCAAACTGCCTTGACTGCTCCAGTAGCTTTCCAAGGACGACGAGCCGGTCCTCTGTGAATCTGCGTTGCTCCAGGATCTGAGGAACAACAGTCAGCCGAGCCTCCTTTCCAGCAGCCGGGCATAAACTGTCCCAGGGAGGCTGAGCAGAGTGCTACCCCAGTAAGTGGAGCTCATTCTCTGGTCCCCCTTTCTGAACATAGGGCCCACCACAGTGCTCTGCCAGTGCACATGCACTGGTCCCATCCTCCACATGACAGTGAAGAGGTGCACCATCCACCACAGCCCCGCAGTGTCTGGAGCCTTCAGCATCTCTGGGTAAGCTGCCTACATTGCATTGCGCTTACAGGTCAAAAGTTCACCCCCTCAGGTTCTCATACCCCCTCCCTGCGTGGTGCCCTGGGGGACAGCTGCTCTCTCCCTCCTGATACACTGTAAACCCGAACAGTATATCTTAATAAATGATTAAAGTTAACATAACTTAATTTTCAAGAAAAGTTGTTTTCACACAATCCAATGAAGTTAACCTAACTCAAAAATAAATTGTTGAAGGAATAACTCGTTTGTTTTGAGTGTATTGCACACCACAGTGTAACTAACTGAATCCATGGCCATGTAATTCCTGTTTCTTGTACATGTTGAGTTTCTATTTGCTCATTAAAGTGAAGACTATTAATGCTTAGCCCAACATTATCCAAAAGAGTTGATAAATTCACAGCATAGCATAATTGATGTAAACCAACTAGACATCAGTGCAAGTCATTTGACTGACAGGTAATTAGCAAATAATAATTTGGGGGGAGGGTGGGGGGCTTGGGGGCGGAACAAAGCTTCTGAATGGATAACCTTTCACCTAGAACTGTCAAATCGAGTTTGATGAAAGCCGGTATCTATACTGTGTGTTGTGGCAACAGTAGATTCATGAGAAAACAGCAGTCCGGTCGGAGCTGAGGGGGTAAATGGCTCACAGCACGCTCAGAAGTTCTGACTGATCAGAGACCAGACACCAACTTTGTCTCCATGTGTGAACACACCCAGAGCTTGTTAACTCCCTCAGGCTGCAGTACAGTAACACTAAACAACCAGAGCCTCCACAGAGGTTTAATACCAGACCTGTTAGGACAAAGAGGTGGAAGGATATCGACCACAAAAACCAGATGTGAGAATGTGGACACAGGTCGAGTGCTGCTTGACTCTGCTGGTCAGCGTGTGAGAGCGGTGCAGCCGGAGCTGAGAATCTGCAGCAGGAAGTCTGTTCGCTTCCAACCTCCTTTTCCCTGACAAGTAGCACACAACCTAGAAAGACTGTGGGCTGACGACGACTCATTCAGAAGGCAGGGCTGCAGCTCTGACTGCTCCAGGACACTGTGGTGAAAAGGTGGTTCAGTGACACAGACAGCAGATACTGTACATAAGCTGGCAACTGAAAAAACCCTCTTATAGTGCAGATGACTGGATGAACCAGGAAGGATATCTTAACAAACCTGCAGGTCGTTACACACAGAACACAACTAAACTCTTACCCAGAGTCTGGTAAGAAATTCATCGACATAAATACACAAGGAATTGATGAGGATAAGACTCAGTCTTTATTCTTACTTTGCTTTGCTACACCCGTGTCTCTGCTGAAATGTGCCACATGGCCGTGCCTGTAGTGTAACAGGTTAACATACCATAAAAGATGCCTATAACTCTTTCCTCAATGCCAAACCCTCTTAGTGAAGGAAGTAACTGATGGGGCAGAAAACACTGCATTATATTTGGAGGAAGACCCTACACATCACCTTAAAGTCGTCAACACAACAAGACACAAAACCTAAAATGTTCCATTAGGAGCCTGAAGCTGCCAATAAAACTCAATCACATGCATCAACAACATGACCAGGTAACAGAACAGCATTCAGGTTCCAGGGTAAGGTAAAGTTCAGGTGAGTACAGGTGAAGAGTTCAAACTGTGATGTCGGATTTTACTGTTGGACACTGAACAGAGTCATAATGAAATGGAGGAGGACACAGAGGAATGAGCCGCTTTTGTTTCCTCCTGACCTCAAGTCAGTCAGACAACACTGGGATCACGACTTCACTGAGAAACACTCTAATAAAGAAGAAGAAAATCCCTTCTGGATATAATAACAATCGTCCCTGTCTTAGTCCCACACCAGAGCTATTTGCACACTCACTGATGGCGGCGCTGCCCTGGCCTTTGGGAGTAACTTCA